CAAGCAGCAACCCAAAACTATCTGGAATGGCTATATTAATATCAGACAAAATTAACTGGAAGACCAAAACTGCTGTAAGACAAAAGTGATAAAAGTTCAATGCATCAGGAAGAGATGACAATTATCAACTGTACATTCACCTACCAGAACCCCAAAACACGTGAAGCAAAAACTGACAGATTTGAAGGAAAAGATAGGTAATTCCATGGTAATAGTTGGAGCCTTTAATACTCTGTATTCAATAATGGGTAAAACAACCATGCATAAGACCAACACGGCAGTAGACAAAAACAACACTATGAAACAGCTACAGCAGACATCCATAGAACATTCCACCCAAACTATCAACATATATACATCCTCATCCAGTCCACAAGGAACATTCTTCAGGATAGACCGTACGTGAGACCATTAATAAGCCTCCATAAATTTAAGGGTATTGAAATCAAACAAAGTATGTTCCCTGACAGCAGTGGAATTAGAAATCACCAACAGAAGGAAATTTGGGAAATTCACACCTATGTGGATATTAACACGCTTCTAAATAATTACCAATGTGTCAAAAAATAAAAAAGAAAGCACTTTAAGATGAGTAAAAATGAAAACACATCCCCAAACTTATGGAATACGGCAAAAGCAGTGCTTAGAGAGAAATTTAAAGAAGTACATGTGTGTATTAAAAAAGAAGTTCTCAAGTCATTAATCCAAGAATCACCTTACAATCCTAGAAAAAGAAGAGGACACTACATCCAAAGCAAACAGATGGGGGAAAAATGAAAAGATTGGAGGGGAAATAAAAAATACAGGTAACAGAATTTAAAAAATTAACAAAACCCAAAGTTGACTGTTTAAAATGATCAACAAAGTTGATAAACCTTTAGTTACACAGACCAAGAGAAAAAGATGATGCAAGATGCTAAAATCAAGAATTAAAGAGAAGAGATCACCAGTGACCTTACAGAAATAAAAATCATAGAGGAAGGCTATGAACTGTGTGCCAACAAGTTAGGTGACCCAGATGGAATGGACAACTTCCCAGAAAGTTGCAAAATTGACTTAAGAGGGAATAGAAAATCTGAATAGACTTACAAGAAGCAGAGATTGCATCAGTAACAAACAAAGAGTAGCCCAGAACCACCATTAGCTTCGCTGATGAAATCTATAAAACATTAAAGAATTAATACCAATCCTTTACATACTCTTCCACAGCATAAAAGACGAGGAAATGATTTCCAACTCATTCTATGAGGCCAGTACGACCTTGATACCAAAACCAGACAATGGCATCACGAGAAAACAAGAGGAAAAGCCACAGACCTATATTCCTGATGAATATAGATACAAACATCCTCTACAAAATGGGATCCAGCAACAATGCCGTCTTGAGGCATATATCCAAAAGAAATGAAAAAGTGTCCACACAAAAACTTATAGGCTGATGTGCCCAGCAGCATTATATTTGTAAGAGTTACGAAGTAGAAACAGCCCAAATTCCTATCAACTGGTGAATGGATACATAAATATGGCATGTCGATATATTAGAATACTATTCGGCCATAAAAAGGAATGAAATATTGATCACATGCTACATACATGGATGGAGCTTAATCACATTGTGCTAAATGGAAGAAGGTAATCACAATTGTGTGATCCCGTTCATCTGAGATGTGCAGAATAGGCAATTTCATAGATAGAAAGGCAATCCGTGTTGGTGAGTGGCTGGGGCGAGGGGAGAAATGAAAAAGTGGCTGCTAATGGCCACAGGGGGTGTTTGGCAGTGATGAAAATGTTCTGAAATTAGGTAGTGCTGACAGGCGCACAACTCTGATTTTAGTAAAAGCCGGTGAATTGCATATTTTAAAAGGGTGAATTTTACATTCTGAATTCCATCCCAATAAAGCTGTTGTGTATTTTTGTTGTTTTTGTAAGGTGCTCAGACAATTTTGTTATTACAGTAAGTGGATATTTTTCCATGAGATCCTTCTGGAGAATATTATGTCCCGTTGCTGGAGAACATAAAGGAAGCACTGTGTAAATGGGGCCACCTTCATTGATGGGAAGATTCAAGGATGCAAAGATGTCAATTCTTCCCAGATCAATCTACAAATTCAATGCGATCCCAATAAAACTCCCAGTAAGATGCTGCATGCATACTGACAAACTAATTCTAAAATTAGTCCAGAAGTAGAAGCTCATTCCTTTATTCAACAAATATTTATTGAGTGCTTACACTATGTCACTTTTATTAAAGCTGCTGGGGTGCAGCCAGCAAAATGATAAACAACCTCACTGCTTTCATGGGGCTTATGTTTAGGAAATGTGCAAAAATAGACGAGGCTCTTTCAGAAAAAAAATGACAATGGGGTTTTTTTTACTTGATCTAGCAGATATCAACATACCTCATAAATCTATACTAATTAAAACAGCATAAAATTGGCACAAAATAGCCAAAATAGATCCATACAACAGAACAGAATCCCAAAACGGATGCGTATGCATATACCAATTTGGCCCATGACAGAGAAGGGCCCACGGTTGAATAGACATGAAACGTGCAAACATGAAACTCTCTTTCATTAGATTTTTTTTTTTTTCAAACCGCACTTCCTGGCTCTGAACTCCAGTGTGCTTAGAGCCAACTACTACAAAAATATCCATCCAGGGTCTCTTCCAGTTGGATGCTGGCAGTCCAAAGGACCGGTCTGAAGCTTCAGCTGGTGCTAGGAAGCATCAAAGACTCTGGTTTGCTGGGTGGGGTCAGGAGTGAGGGAAATCAACAGGCAAACAAGTTTTGGAAAGCCAGCCTTTCACCCACAACTGAGCACTGAGGGGTAATGAGCCTCCTGACCCCAACTCTCCATTTCTTTTCTCCACTCTCCTGCGCAGGCGTGCTCCCCGATGCCCCTTCCGAGGGACCAAAGGAATGCTCGAAGAGAGGAGGGGCCGGGACGGCCTCCTCAGGTCCTTTGCTAACTGCCCCCAAGGAGTGATGCTTCCTCCCCCCGCCACGCCCACTTCTGGCTCTGACCTTGATTCTAAAATCTGCGTGGTCGGTGGAGGCAGATGCGGGTGTGCTTCCAGAGGCTCTGTCCAGTCAAAACCATTCTCATGTCGAAGCGGACTTTCTTCACCTTTTTCGCTCATTCTCTTCCGAGAGAAGTTTTTCAGAGGCTACGCGATATGCGATAGGGCGTCAGGTCACGTGCGGGAGAACCGGGTCTCTTGGATGAAACCAGACACTGGACACATTAGCAAAAACGTACACGGGCGTCACTCTTTTTGTCCGGTTGTAGTTATTTTTGGTAACAACGTGACTTGTGCTGTCATTGGGATTGTTATTTTTAAGTGAATAAAACATACTTTGGAAATCTTTTGGTTTTAATTTCTACTGCGGTCAGGTGGTACCAGCAAAGACTCTTGGGTCCTCCTTCATTTTTACGAAGAGTTTAAAGGGGTCCCCTGGTCACAAAGTATGGGATGGCCCCAGCCTTCTTACAGCCAGCTTCACAGCATCAACGGGTCATACAGCCCTCAATAACCACCACTTGGGTAAATGAGCGAAGAAATGAATCGATATGCCAGCTTTTGAAGGACACAGGACATACCATGTTGAACACGGTGCCTATTGCACACGAAACACTTAACGCATCCGTGTCGTCTTCTCTGACACCGAACTAGAGGCACAGGGCTGGAAACTGGGAGTTTAACATCATAGCTCCTGTATCTGTAGGAAGATGTCCGAGATGCTGGCAGGGTAACCGTGGCCTCCACCCCCCCCCCCCCCCCCCCCACGTAAACTCCTGTCTCCAGCTGTTGGCAGAACTGGGGACAGATCTGGTCCTCAGGACCCACAGAGGCTGGCTCAGTCTAGGAGCCCCCGTGCTGGTACCACACTTACAGTAACTCCAGAACTTGTACATCTTACACATCCTCTCGATAAGACCCGAGTTAGAGATGGGAGAGGGACTCCAGTCGATAAGGGCGGGCTGGGAAATGAGGCTTTCAGACAACCCAGGACTGAACAAAGATTGTGGGCAAGGACACTGGCACCTATTTGTTTCCAGGCTCCTCGTCTATCCCTCGATCAGCCCTGCGGCGTGGGATTCTGCAGGTGTCCAGTGTGACACTAAGGGGGTCCATCCACAGCTTAGACATCTGGATTCGGGATAATTCCCAGGAGAGGGCAGTAAAACCGTGATGGCCATTTCTGACAGAAGCATCCAGAGGAGAGGATGCTTTTTTCCTCAAGGGCACAAAGCCTCCTGCAGACCAGCCACAGCCCTGCCCACGCTATTCCCTGAAGGTCCTAATTTTGCCCATGAAGTTCCCACATCTTGTAAACGGATTCACTAAAAGGAATTTTAGTTTCTTTATTTACGGCACAGGATCGTTGCTGACCTGCCTACCTTCCAGATCACATAAAAGCCTGCAGGTGGAAATTCCTTATAAATCGTGAGGTGTGTACAAAGGCAAACAATTTTATCATTGGTGTGATACTAAGTCCCGGTGTTGACACGCCACGGCCGTGGGAGAGGCAGGAACAGCACCCAGGAGGAACAGCATCCAGCAGGGCTCAGCACGGGCTCCCTGGGGTGGGGGGCAAAAGAGACCAGCTGGAGAGAAAGAGAAGTGCACTTGCACCAAAGTCTGGCAACAAATGAAAACGTGAGAGGAAAGTGTATAAGGCGCAGCTAGATTGACCAACCCCATCTCTCCTGGAGGTCCCCTGGCCTCAAAGCAGAACAAAATTTTTGGAGCTTTTTCCAAGGTGTCCAACACGAATCTTCCTTTTTTGTGTGTTATTTGGCAGATGTAAGAACTGGCCAGAATCCCAGGGCCTGTTACCTGCGTTCATGGGAATATGACTGAAGTGTGACAGGAGATGTCTCCGGAGAGGACACTGCAGGGGCAGGCCCCATTGGAGGCTCCGTGGAGCTGTGGAGAATCACGATGTCCCTGCGAGTCAACACTCAGAGGAACAAGTACGTGGAGAGAAACTATCACAGTCTCGATGCACTGAGAGTTGAGCAGTGTTTTTGCCATGGCTCTGCACCGGCACCTTTGACCTCCCTGTTCCCCAGGCTGTACACGACAGGGCTCAGCAGGGGAGTGAGGACGGTGTAGGTCACAGAGATGAGTCTGTCCTGCCCCCACGGAACTCTGGGACTTGGGCTTGAGGTAGATGACGGAGGCACAGCCATAGTGGACGATGACCACCGTGAGGTGGGAAGTGCAGGTGGCAAAGGCCTTCTTCCGGCCCCGGGAGGAGGGGATCTTGAGGCTGGTGGAGACGATGAGGACATAGGAGAAGAAGATCGGGCCCGTGGGCAGAATCAGGACACAGACGCTGACGACAAAGTTGATGATCTCGCTGACAGGGGTGTCCACACAGGCCAGCTTCAGCAGGGGCCTGACGTCACAGAAGAAGTGAAAGATGACAAGGGCGTCACAGAAGGGCAGGCCAAACACAGATGTTACCTGGACAAGGCCATGCCCAGGCCAATTCTTAGAGACGCAGACGTCCACTGGCACAAGCCTCTTCCCTAGGACGGCTGTGGTGGTGAATTTTGTGCGTCAGCTTGACTGGGCTAAGAGATGTCCAGACAGCTTGTAAAACATTAATTCTGGGCACGCCTGCGAAGGTGTCTTTAGAATATATTAGCATTTGAATCAGCAGACCGAGTGGGGAAGATCACCCTTACCCAACGTAGGCAGGGATCATCCCATCTGCTGGGGGCCTGAATAGAGCAAATGGCAGAGGAGGGCAAATTCTCTGTCGGCGGATGAGCTGAGACATCCGTCTTCTCCTGCCCTCACGCATCAGTGCTCCTGGTCTCGCACTTTCAGACTCAGACTGGGATTTACACCATCAGCTTTCCCGGTTCTACACAGCTTGCAGATGTGAGGTCGCGGGACTCCTTGGCCTCCTTGAGCACATGAGGCAAATTCCTATAGTAAATCTCCTACACGTATCAATAAAACCTATTGGGTTCTGTTTTTCTGGAGAACTTCGATGAATACGAGGACTGGCTACCACAGGGGTTGCAGATGGCCACACAGTGATCAGGCTGCGTGGCCAGGAGCAGGAAAAGCATTGTGGGCCGCACAAGTGAGGCAGGAGACGAGTGGGCATGACCGTCTTGAATGGCAATGGGCTGGTGAGGACTCAGGAGGCCAGATAGGATGCAAGGAATGATGGCCACAGCGTAGCTGTTCTCCGAGATGGAGAGCATGCTTGGGAAGATGTATATGTCCCACATGGAGACAGTCAGCTGATTGCTGATGAAGGGAATATGGAGGTGATGGTCCAGAAAAATAATAGTCACGATGAGGACATTGTTGGAGAGAGTCACAGCAGGTACAGAATTAGAAGGACCAAGAGAAAAGGAGCCCAAGCCTGTGTAACCGCCCAAAGCTGGAGGAATCTGTGAGGAGGAGCTTGGCTGCAGCAAGAGTTCAGCCTTGGCACTGAGAAGGGTCCGGATCCAAATGAACTGGCCAAAGGGAAGGGAGGGTGAGATTCTCGCTGCACGACAGGTTGCACTGTGCTCCGAGCTGCAGGCGAGAGTGCTGCCCCGGCCTCGGGTGCCAGCAGTATTCTTCCCCCGGCTAGGAACTCCGCACTCTTGAGAATAAATCAACAAGTCTCTCGTGATGTGCTTGATTTAGGGCAAGGATGACAGGGAGGAGAAGTCTCAACACAAACGAACGGCAGAATCATGAGAACAACTACCCAACTTGACCACGAAAGAGGTGGGTCCAGGTCAAAGACATGGCGGGTGTTGAGTGAGCGTGGCACTTGAGTTCCCTCTGTGCTGAGATCGGTCCAGTCCTCTCTGCCAACATGCATTGCCAGCACAAAGTGCCCTGGGAATCTCCCAGAACAGGTGTTCTTACCAAGTACTGAGTCCTGTGTTTTCCTTTCCTTAGCCCTGCTCCTTCGTGTACACGAGACCACTAGTACAAGGCCAGGCGGTGGGAGGGCCATTCAGGCTATAACACTCATCACGTTTCCAGAAATGGAGGCCAACGCTCTTTTGAACTAAGTTCTGTCACATTTCTTTCTTCCTGTATACTGTGTCCTCTCTAGAGAAAAAAGCAGTACCCGGTGTTAATAAATGATGTTGGCTTTTTCCAAATCTCTTTGTGATGTGACATTTCCCAATGAAAAGAAAGATATAAATAGAGGTGAGTTCTTTTTCAAGGATTTTTTTCTACCCCTAAACCTGTACTTCATAACAATGGTTAATAATGCCATCACTGTGCCTGTAATTTTCGGCGACTATCACTTCCATGCCCCTCCTGTGTTTCTTAATGTCCTTTTCTTTTTTCTTTTTTTGTACTGCTTGGACAGGATCTCACTTTGGCTCTCAAGTATTGTGGAAGCAAGAATCAGCCCATCTCCCTGGAGAAGCATGGGATATGGCTCATCGTTTTTGCTTTTCTGTCACCAACCCATGGCAGTAATGGGGTAATACCTTGAATATGGGCAACCCGCTCTTACTTAATTCCAGAAATAGAAGATCTGTGTCCTGCTGGCACCCTCAGTGTATACCACAGGATTGCTAGGTATACACAGGATCCCGTGTATACCACAGGATCACTAGGTTCACGTCAGGGGCGGAAGTAAAAAAAAAAAAATCTTGCCTATAGAGTAACAAAGATTACACCGGCCTTCTCCTCAGCACTCATGCCAGCAAGAAGACAGCAGAGTGAAATATTTAGTGTTGACAGAAAACAATGGCCATGCTAGAATTCTGTACCCTGCAACATCATCCTTCAAAAATGAAACAGAAATAAAGACTTTCTCAGGCAAAAACTGGGGGATTTTGTTGCCAGCAGACCTGTCTTCTGAAAACTGTTACAATAAATTTTGTAGAAAAAAGGAAAATAATATAAAGTCAGAAAGCACCAGGCCCAAATGGGTTCACTGATAAATTCCACCAAATATTTAAGGAAGAAATTATACCAATTCTTCACAGTTTCTGTTAGAGAATAGACAGTATGGTATTGGCACAAAGACAGACACTTATATCAGCGGAACAGAATAGAGAACCCACAAATGGACCCACAAATATATGGCCAACTAATTTTTGACAAAGCAGGAAAGAATATCCAATGGAATAAAGACAGTTTCTTCAGCAAATGGTGCTGGGAAAACTGCACAGCGACATGCAGAATGAACCTGGACCTCTTTCTTACACCACACACAAAAATAAACTCAAAACGGATGAAAGACCTAAATGTAAGACAGGAAGCCATCAAAATACTAGAGGAGAAAGCAAGCAAAAACCTCTTTGATCTTGGCCACAGCAACTTCTTACTTAACACGTCTCCGGAGGCAAGAGAAACAAAAGCAAAAATGAACTATTGGGACCTCATCAAGATAAAAAGCTTCTGCACAGTGAAGGAAACAATCAGCAAAACTTAAAGGCGACCGACGGAATGGGAGAATATATTTGCAAATGACATATCAGATAAAGGGTTAGTATCCAAAATCTGTAAAGAACTGATCAAACTCAACACCCAAAAAACAAATAATCCAGTGAAAAAAATGGGCAAAAGACATGAATAGACACTTTTCAAAAGAAGACATCCAGATGGTTGGCAGACAGATGAAAACATGCTCAACATCACTCATCATCAGGGAAACACAGATCAAAACCACAATGAGATACCACCTCACACCAGTCAGAATGGCTAAAATTAACTACCCAGGCAACAACAGATGTTGGTGAGGATGCAGAGAAAGGGGAACTCTTACACTTATGGTGGAAATGCAAACTTGTGCCACCACTCTAGAAAACACTGTGGGGGGTTCCTCAAAAATTAAAAATAGAACCTATACCCAGAAATTGCACTACTGGGTATTTATCCAAAGGATACAGGTGTGCTGTTACCAAAGGGACACATGCACCCCAATGTTTATAGCAGTGCTATCAACAATAGCCCAAAGTATGGAAAGAGCCCAAATGCCCATCGACAGGTGAATGGATAAAGAAGATGTGGTGTGTGTGTGTGTGTGTGTGTGTGTGTATACTGTACCCTACACACACACACACACACACACACACACACACACACACACACACACAAATGGAGTATTATTCGGCAATCAAAAAGAATGACACCTTGCCATTTGCAGCTACGTGGATGGAACTAGAGGGTATCATGCTAAGCGAAACAAGTCAGTCAGAGAAAGATAAATATCATATGAATTCACTCATATGAGGAATTTAAGATACAAAACAGATGAACACAGGGGAAGGGAAGCACAAATAATACAAAAACGAGGAGGGGGACAAAACATAAGAGACTCTCAAATACGGAGAACAAACTGAGGGTTGCTGGAAGGGTTGTGGGTGGGGGGATGGGCTAAATGGGTAAAAGGCATTAAGGAAGACACTTGCTGGCATGAGCACTGGGTGTTATATGTAGGGGATGAATCACTGGATTCTACTCTTGAAATTATTATCACACTATATGCTAACTAACTTGGATGTAAATTAAAACATAAAAAAATAATTTAAAAATATTAAAAAATAAAAAAATAAATTCTTATAGAAATAAAAAAAGAACTATTTGAGGAAAACTACAAGAACTCTGATAAATGAAAATAAAGAATAAATGTAGAGATATTCACAGATAGGAAGACTCCATATCATCACATCAGTTCTTCCCAACTGGATCTATGTATCCAATGCAATCCCAGTCAAAATCCCAGAAAGTTCTTTTGTGGATGTCAACAAACTTATTCGAAATTTATTTGGAGAGGCCAAAGATCCACAATACCTAAAGAGAACAAAATTGGAGAAGTGACACTACCCAGCTTCAAGACAGTATCGTGTTGGCAAAAGAATAGTCAAATGAGTGGAACAGAAGAGAAGGCCCAGAAGCGGACCCACATATAGTCAACTGATTGTTGGTGAAAGAACAAAGGCGATATGATAGCACAAAGTCAGTCTTTTCAACTGGTGCTGGAACTGAAAATCCACAGGCAAAAAAAATGAATCTCGACACAGACCTACCACCCTTGAAAAAATGAGCTCAAAATGGATCACAGAACTAAATGAAAATTGCAAAACTCTAAAATTAAAAGATTTTATTTCTTAAAAAAATTTAATTTAAAAAAAATTAAAGAGAAGAAAATTTCAGTGACTTTGGGTGTGGTGAGGACTGTTTAGACACAATACCAAGGGCACCATCCATGAGAGATAAAAACCTCTTCTCTGACACGGCAAGAGAAGGAAAAGACAAGCCACAAATTGGGAGAAAATATTTGCTGCTGACACGTCTGATATCTCCACAATATACACACAAGTTTCAAACTCAACCATGACAAAATCTGATTTTTTAAACGGGCCTAAGTGTGGGTTTCCTTGCATGGGATGAGTCATTTAGCTCTTGCTGATTTCATGATTTTTGTCTTTATCCTACAATAGTTTGTGATGTTTCTACATATGGCTGTCTTTGTGTTCACCTTTGCGGGGGGGGGGGGGG